CAATAAAGGCAATGAGTGAAGGTTTATTTCTTCTCTTACTTCCTCACCCAGGTGCACATTAGGTACCATGTAAACAAAGAATTCACAGGCAAATTCCCAAATATACTCTCGATTGATTCAACAAAGACCGGTGTGTGCTCACCATGTGCTGTTACTGGTGTTAGTTGCCACTGAGTTGGCTCTGACTCATGGTGACCATATGTATAACAAAACAAGATATGGGCCAGTCCTGTGACATCTTCATAATTGAGTCCATTGTTGCGGCTACTGTGTCAATCCACTCCATTGAGAGAACACCAAAAAACCAAACCAAACTCATTGCCATCGAGTTGGTTCTGACTCATAGCAATCTCCCTTGGGTTTCCAAGGCTCTAAGTCTTTACAGCTTGGAAGGAAGGTTGGGCAATCTACTTCCGTAGTGATACTGCCTTGGAAACCCAAGGGGGGGGGGTCACTATGAGTTAGGGCCAACTCTACAGCATATAACAACACAATAACAAATCTTTACAGAAGTAAGAACAGCTGGTGGGTTTGAACCACTGACCTTCTGGTTAGCAGCTAAATGCCTTATCTACTAAACCATCAGAGAATAGGCACCATAGGGATGCCAAAATGAACAAGGCAGGCATGACCCTTACTTATTGCCTGGTAAATAGATATATACATAAACTACCAACCACTGTGACAAATGCAATAAACCAAAGGCTAAGATAGACAAAAACTGGAAGAAAGTGGCTCTCCTTTATTTGGGGGACCAGATAAAGCCTCTCCAAGGAGTTGATATTTAAGCTGAGTACTAAGAAGCAAGAAGAAAAACTCTCCTAGGTGGAGAATACCAAGGGTCAGAGGGGAGGGAGATTTTATGGCACCTGAGCACAGGAAACTCAGAGAAACCATACTCACTGCCCTTGAGTTGATTCTGACTCAAAGTGACCCCCACTGGGTTTCTGAGGCTGTAAATAAATCTTTACGGAGGAGTGGCTGGTGGATTTGAACTACTGATCTTCTGGTTAGCAGTGGAATATATTATCCAGTATGCCACCAGAGCTCCCTGAGCATGGTAATAGTGTTTCAATAAAATATTTGAAATCCCATAGCCAAATCCAAAAATTTCCAAGGCTCTTTTATAGCAAGGAAGATCTTTCAGCCACTCTCTCCACACAGTCTACTACCTGCTGAAAACTAAGCTTGTGGTAAGCAGATTCTTGAAAGGTATTGATAAAGTCTGGTGGTCAGTGCCCCCAAGCTCAGTGATGTGGGGTCACAATTAAGGAAATCATTCCAAAGTTCTACCATATAGATGATGTGACTCTTGGTCTCTCATTCAAGAGTGCTCAGAAACTCTAGAGAAGGTCATGGCCATTGGCTATCATTGTTTCTCAGTCTTTGTGACACATCTCCAACTGGGCCATCCATGAGCACTGCTGACAATCTTTGCTGCAGTCATTCAGCAGCTCCTGTGAGGGCCATTCCCAAGAAGATCAGTGGGAGATCAGGCTTGCTTTGCAGACTCAGCACAGAGGCAGGGCCAGGTGATGAGGCTGGGAAAGATCAACATCATGTAGCATCAGCCTGCACAAGTGAAACCCTACAGAGTTTCAGATTATCATCAGCAATACCAACTTGAAAGCAGTTAGAGAATTCTGCTTGGTAGGCAGGCCTACTGTCTGAGTAAGTAAAAAACAGAATAGAAAAGGAACTGTATGCCCCTCAGGGGAACTCACCAAAATGGGACTCAGAGATGTAAGCTCTGTACTAGGCTGTCCAGAATTATACACACTTGCAGGTGTCCTTGAGGGCTGTCATCAAGGTTGCTGCCCAAGGCTCTCCTTAAATTTACAAGGGGATATCAAGTGAGAAGGAATGGGTTATGAAACACACATTGTCTACTAGTATAAGAACGACCAAGAGCCCAATGACAAGATGGTAAAACTCCCTATAGACAGATGTCTGCCGTCCCTGGGGTGCCAAGCACTATGCAGGGATTTAGGATCTGTGCTAGAATCCCTGGGAGGTACGCACAGTTAATGTACTCCATGGCTGCTAACCAAAAGACTGGAGGTTCAAGTCCACTCAGAGGTAACTTGGAAGAAAGGCCTGGAAATGTAGTTCTGAAGAATTAGCCAGTTCTACTTCAACATACATGGGGTTGCCACGAGTTGGAACTGACTTGATGGCCACTGATCTTAGGTTCTGTACTAAACTCTTTACAAGGATCATGTTACTAATTCCTCCCAGGGAGCTAGGTTCTAGTGCCATCCTCTTTTACCAGATGAGCAGTCTTTGGCCCAGAAATGTTTAGTAATTTGCCCAGAGTCCTTCAGCCAGTGAGTCGCAAAGGTGGCATTTGAATTTAAGCTGATCTAACTTCAAAGAAGACACTTAGCCACACTGTGATTCTATATCCTATAACCGTAAAAAGTCATGAAATAAATGTTTGTGAATGCATCAATTACTGTATGTTTCATGAGTACCTACCAGAGGCCAGTATAAGCAGAGAATATATTATGAAACAGGTCTAAATCTCATGCTATGAGACAGAAATTTGAACAATATACAAGCCACTCTGAAATCAGACAGGGTTGGCTCATTTCTCTTCCATTCCCTTCCTTTCCCTTTCCTTCCATTCTTTTCCCCACCCCTCCTCTTTCCTCCCTGCTGCCATGCAAGGTAAATTTTAGCAGACATATGGGGAGCAGTAAAGAACAGAGATGGAGACTGGATACTATTGTTCCATCTTTTCATCTTCAGAAGACTAGGAGGACAGTGCAAAGCTGACAGAAATGTCCCCTGCACCTACTGGGGAGAACAGAATTGGGTGTGAGCCTGCATGTTACTAGAACTTCACTTTGGTCCTTGAGGCTTAACAAAAGATTATATCTACAGGAGCGAAAACCCATTAGCAAATTCGGGAGTTTAAATGTTAGTTCATAACTCCCTTGAAAGAATAATTTTTTTCTCGGGTTTGCCATACCCAAAGAATATTACAGTGCTAAAATATTTACTGAAATATGTATCTCTGCTAAGAACTAAATAGGCTACAATTATAATGTAAAAATTAAACAAACTATCATACACACGTGGCTGAAGAGAGTCAATGGAAGGCAGAAAGCATTCATCTAAAATACATGAAAAGTTAATATGTAAGAAAAACTGACATTATGATTGTCTGCAAGTTGCTGCCATAGTTTCTCATAACTATTCTTTTCTTCCTTAGTATCAGAACCCAGAATTTTTCTGGACAACAAAATGGTCAAGTCTCAGGCTGCATTTCTTAGATGTGTAACTAAACCAAACTCATTGCCATCAAGTCAATTTGACTCATAGTGGCCCCTCCTTGAATTCCCGAGGCAGTATCTCTATGGAAGCAGATTGCCCAATCTTCCTTCTGAGGAGTGGCTGGTGGGTTTGAACTGCCAGCCTTCTGGTTAGCAGTCAAATGCCTTAGGCACTACGCCACCAGAGGTCCCAGATGTATAACTAGGGGTGACTAATAGGATATAAGAAGAAAGTCAAATAAGACTTCAGAAAACATTCTTTAAAGGGGCCTGTCTTAGCTAGGAGAACTATTGTTAGTCCCTTGCTTTTCTGTCTCTTCCTACCAGAACACAGAAGCAATGGCTAGAGAGTCAGCAGCTATATTGTGACCCTGAGGATGAAGTAACGCACTTGAACAAACAGAGCAGAAAACAAAAGGTATTTACCAACCATGAACTGCTCTCCTCCAGATGTGTTTTATGTGAGAGAGTGAACAATCAATTTTTCAAAGAGCTTACATAGTTAGATCTCTATCACTAGCAAATAATGGCTAACTGATATAATGATATAAAAACAGGTCTAAAGATGACACAGATTTTTTTGTCTGACTGAAAAGAAACTAGAAAATTCATGAATTGGGATTCTGATTACCCTTCTACTCCCAGAGCTATTTGTGTAAGTATGACTTTCCTTCTTAATTAGTGCTGCTAGTCCACGGAAGGATATTTGCTGAGCCTGTCTCTATGTTTTGACATGCAAGACTTGTGAAATTCAAACATACTAGTAGACATTCAAAGAAGTATTATTTATTAAGGCTTATATTAAAGGTGGAAGATCTTAAAACACTCTCAGATTCTGATGATTAAAAGAAATGTAATCATTCTTCATTAGCATTTGATCTTTAGCCTGCCATAATCTGCCCTTATATCCCTTCATCCACGTTTGATACTAAAAAGACATTTCAACAGCTTGTCCATCAACTGCAAAATAGAAGGACTGTACAGAAAAACCACATTACTCAGAAAATAAAAGAGCTTCCCCTCACACTCATTTAGCTCATGAAAGCCCCATGTGATTAAAAAGGTGAATAAGGTATCCTCCACTAGGTGAACCAAAATGACTGTAGAGCCATCCAGTACATCTGTAAGGCATTTTGAAATTTTCGAAGAGCTTTCATATATAATATACCTTGTTTCATCCTTACAAGGTCAGGGGGACTGGTACCCAGAAGATGATGTGCTTAGAGATCACATGTTCCCCTTTGATGTACGAGATCAAGGATCAGCAAACAACGGCCTGCAGGTCAAATCTGCTCCATGGCCTGCTTTATAAATAAAGTTTTACTGGGACACAGCCACGTCCATTTGTTTACAGACTGCCTATGCCTGCTTTTGCGATACAACCGCACAGGTGAGTAGTTGAGACAGAGACTATAGGGCCCGTGAGATGGAAAATGTTTACTATCTAGATGGAAATGTTTACTATCTAGCCCTTTACAGAAAAAGTTTGCTGACCCATGTGTCACATCACCTAAATATGATCCAAGTTATGACAGTATTCTTAAAAACCATAAAGCTATCACAAAGAGCAGAAAGCAGTAAATACATTCCTACTACCTTTGGAATTGGTACTTGACAATGGGAAAGCCCACTTACTTTCCTTAAGAATACTGTGTTTCCCACCTGTGGGAGTGGGAGGCAATTTTTAGGTGGTACACAGTATTACTGGTGTTTACCACTTACCCTGAACTTTTAACGTGGCTCACAGCCATAAAAAGCCTGGGGGGTCACTGGTAAGGGGCATGCATAATGCCACACTGCAACACACACCGGGATACTGCAATCAAAATGAAGAGAAGAGAGTAAGTGAAGGGATATGGGGAGATGCTTTAAAAAAAAGCAAAAAAAACATATGCACTTGAAATTTTTTTTCAAGTGTGTTTTTACACACAATAATATAAAATATTCAGTATATAATCATATACCTAAGTGCCTATTTTCTCCTTTCCCTTCTAGAGCCAGCATTCAATATGGTCTAATATTACAGAATTTATAACAGAAGGATGCAAAAGGTTACACGGTCAAGTAAAATTTTCACTCTTAAAGACATGGCTTTCACAGAGAAAGTTAAGTTCTTTTAAATTCCGTATTTTATTTTTCTTTTGTGAAGATAAATGCTCATAATTAAAATGCTAATTCATCTTGACATATAAGAGCAAGACTGACGATTAGAAGTGATGATTTTGCTTTGGGTTTGGGGTTTTGGCCTCTTTCAACACAGCCAGAGGAAGGGAGGGGAAGAAGTAAGTAAGTACAAGTGAGTGGGAGGGTGCATGGATAAGAGGTGCACACTCACAGGAGAAGACGGCTCTCCTCTGCCGGCAGAGCACCAAATCCCACTCGTGACCGTGAGCAGCTTTTCCCAGTTGCACTTAAAATGCAAAAGGAGGTTGTGACATATCCTTCTCATGCAAACAGTCAGCGTGTGCATGTGCACATGTGCTGAAGCTGCAAGCTTTCAGGGCTTACTTGGGTTATTAGTAGAATATTTACTAAATCCATTTTCAAGTAAGTTGAAGCTGCTGACGGAGAAGTCAACTCATTCTCTAGCACATTCAGAAAGTTTTTGTGAATAGATGTCAGTAGTAAGGGTTTTACATGCCAGGTCTTTTCTGCAGAGATGCTTAAGATAATAATACCACATATACAGTCCTCGCATTTATAGAGAGGACTCTGTAATATCAGAAAATGGAACTACAGAATGAGTAGACAGCATAATATCGTCCCCGTGTCTTTGTTCTTCTCTTTCGACAATAAACGCACACAAAAGCCCGCAAACGTGTTTTTTCTAACCTATTATTCAGACAGAGAAGTTGAAACTGAAAAGGAGATGTATGAAGTTTTATGATTTGAATAGTTACGTATCTCCGGAAGCTATGTGGGTTGCCTGTCTAGCAGAACTCAGAAGAGAGTTGAGAGCTCATGCTCCTGGTGGGGGTCTCTTCTTGATAAGAGATCAACTCAGGGCAGATTTGTCCACACTCTATTTTCTAGGTATTAGTTTCTATGTGTGCATAAACTGCTTACCAAATGTACTATGACTTAAGAATCTTCATTCTTTTATGAATTTAACAAGCTGTGTTATTAGCAACATTCCTCTTGAACAAGGCAGCTTAAGAGTATTATCAGAATGCATGAAAAATATTGTGTTTCTTTTTAAAAGATAATTTCAGTTGGCAAAGCTGTAATCATTCAAACTTAATTGGTGAACTCATTAATGAGCAACTGCCACCATAAGAAGGAAGACCATTGTCATCGACTTATCAGAGCAATGAGATAATGAAGTTAATTATATTGTTTTCAATGGATTTACACTTGCTTCCTTTTGGGCTCCACATTTTCCAAACATTTGTTCTAACACTCCATGTGTTTGCTTGTCTTAACAGAAAACGATCAGCTGTGGACTCCTCAAGGAAAAGTCAGCAGATCACAGCCCTAAACATCAGGGCAAAGCAATTGGAAAACTTTTCTACCCTTTATTATCTACTTGTAAAGTGTTATAAGCCTGTAAACTAGTTAGTTTATGAGCCGTGTTAATAATTTGCTCACACTTGATCGTAGGTTTCGCCAACACAGTTTCCAAGGCTGTGGAAGGATAATTTGTAGGTCCTGCTTCTCTCCTAAGGGGACACTAACTAATTTGACACAGTAACATGACATTGATGGCGGGCACACTAACGACCATACTCCAAGATGTGGCTGTCAGCCTGTCGCTCCAGTGAGAAGCTGGTTTGCTTTCCTGGCTGCTCAGTACACGATGCTCAACTAATTATTCAGACAGCAACATTAATGAGAGCCAGTGTGTTTATTTTCAACATACTAACCAGCGCTTAGCTTCCATTTGTCTGATATGGTCACTGATTAAAATGTGTTTCATGAATAGTAAATCTGACTCTAATGTAACAAAGAAACACAGGAAGAAAATGAGGAATAGCTGACTGAGAAGCCAATCCGGTCAACGCAACTTGTTTTTTGCCTCAAAGATCATCAAGGACAAAGTGGCAGGTAGCAGGAAATGCCATAAACACCGAGAGAGTGAAAGAAGTATTTTTAATCACATATGTCCATGTACAGTCTTGACTTGGGACCAGAGCCACTGAAACACAGTACAGTCAAGAGTAACTTCTGCTTCAAACGAACTTCACTAACTTAGGATAGTGAATAAAGATTTTTATATTAGTTTTTCCTTGAAATGACCAAAAGGTTTGCTTTACTATGATGCTTCTTCAACCTTACAGAAGTTTGATCTCTGATTGAATGCTCTCAAACACGATATTTACAAACAGCACTAGATACAGTTTTTTGCTTTTTCAAAATCTACTAGAACACTGTACTGAGAGTTTTTTTAGCACTGTCTTACACATCTTGTTTCTAGTCTACTAAACCTTGTTATCAAGTTCTTTCTACTTTAAATTAAATTTCTATTTGGGTATGATAAATTTTGTCCTTCATTTTATGGTGATTATAATCCTAAAATATTCATATAATAATTTAAAATGAATAACTTTAAAAAAAAAAAAGTGTGCTTAGATCTGCTAGAGGTACTGCAAAATTGGAAATGTTCCTGATGTAGTTCACTGTAAAAATGTGCATTTCAAATTAAATAATAGTGATAATATCTCAACCAATGTTCTATCTGCCATTATGGAGAAAGAATTCTACCCAGCACTGTGTAGGACGTTTGATTTTATAAAACAGCAAAATAAATGAGTCCATGTATATCACATTGGGAGTGGAAATGTCATTGCATGAAACATTTCTGGGTATGGATTTCTAAACTTACTCACTCTGAGATATAACTGTAATTTTAAAATGCCAAAAATTCCTACATGACATACAACATGTGGTAAGCAGATTTAGATCCCATGCTAATTTTTAAAATGTATTTGACCAAGTATCCAGATAAACCACCCCAAGTCAGCATGGTTGCCTCAAAACACTGCTATTTTCATGGGAACCTTGTTGCAGCCAGGTTCTCAGATTACTGACATCTCTTTGCAGCTTATGTGTGGTAAGGACTGGACTTCCACAATAATCCAAGGAAATGCAGTAAGTCTGTAACTACAGCCACTAACTAGAGTAGCTAGATGCTTTTCATATCCATTTCCTCTTCTTTCTGGACACACAAGTGAAATGTATTTCCCAGACTCTCTTGCAGCTATGTGGGGCTTGTGACTGAGTTCTGGTCAGACAGACAGAAGTGAGTATTCCACCGACAGCCTAACCCTGAAACCTCCCTGCACCATCCATAATGGACCTCTCTTCCCTTTACAGTGGGCCAGAAGAATTCAGTTGCTAACTACTGGTTCTGTGGGAATACTGGAGTCAGTAGATGGAATAACCCTGGGGCCCTGAAAGACCACATGGAGCAGAATGTCTACTTTCCACCAACAAGCTCTTAATTGTGTGGTATTAAAGGAAAAAAACAAAACAAAACACTGCCATCTAGTCAATTCCAACTCACAGCAACCCTCACTGGGTTTCTGAGGCGGTAAATCTTTACTGAAGTAGAATGCAGAGTCTTCCTTCCATGGAGTGGCTGGTGGGTTTGAACAGCTAGTCTTCTGGTTAGCAGCCCAATGTCTTAGGCACTGCACCACCAAAGCTCCCTTAGATTGTGTGCTACAGAAGAAATAAGCTGTATATGTCAATGTTTTTGTTTGTTTGTTTTTACATCTACTACTATCTCCTAGCCAAATATACAGACCTTTCTAATTTTTCCAAGGACTTCTGAGGAGTCCTTGTGTGACACAAACAGTTCAACAGTTCAGCTGCTAACCAAAAGGCTGGAAGTTCAAGTCTACCCAGAGACACTTTGGAAAAATGGCCTGGCGACTACTTCTGAAAAAGCAGCCACCAACAGTCCTACGGAGTACAGTCCTACTGTGACACACATGGTGTTGCCATGAAGTGGAAGCAACTTGAGGATAACTGTTGTTATTGTTAAGTGCCTTCGAGGTGTCTCATAGTGACCCCTCCTCCTTAGGTTTCTGAGGCAGTATCACTAGGAAAGTAGACTACCCACCCTTCTTTCTTAGGAGTGGCTGGTGGGTTTGAACCACCAACCTTCTGGTTAGCAGTCAAGTGCCTTAGGCACTATGCCACCAGAAATCTCTAAGGGCAACTGATAACTGATCATTTTTCCCTGGGTCAAACATTACACTTGAGTCTTTGGGCCACCATAAAAAGGTAGAAGTACTATATATTTGGAAAAAATCCTAAAGATATTTTATGTTTGTGATTATCTGTTCCTTGAATAAGTGAAAATGAAGCATCAGTGGTTCAGTGGTAGAATTTTCATCTTCCATGCGGAAGACGTGAGTTCTATTCCTGGCAAATGCACCTTGTGCAGAGCCATCACTTGCCTGTCAGTAGAGGTTTTTTGTGTGCTGCTGATACTGAACAGGTTTCAGTAGCACTTCCAGATTAAGACAAAATAGGAAGAAAGGCCTAGTGATCGACTTGGAAAAATCAGCCAATGAAAACTCTATGGATCACCAACGTTCCATCTGCTACTGCACATGTGGCTGGGTCGGGACCAGACAATGTTTTATTCTATTGTCCGTGGGCTACATGAGTTGAGGGCTGACTCTATGGTGGCTCACAATGACAACAAACCAAAGGTGAAAAAAAGGAAAAGGGAATAATAAAAAACAAAACAACAAACTCAACACTAACTAATTGGAAAAACGGAAAGGGCATCAACAGCTAATGTAGGCCCACAATGGGCCAGAAAGGGCTTTACTTATTTAATCTTCATGCAGCCCTGTGAGGAGG